AGAGAGAGAGAGAGATACAGAACAGTGTGCCATAAATTCGTGACTCCGCGCCAGATGCAGTTTTGCTCCCAACAGCGCGTGTAGTTGTAGTTAAATGGAGATCGCGGAGGCAAGAGGAGCATCCAAGTGCGTGGAAAAAATGGAGAAAGAAGTGGCGCCCAAGAAGCGACAGTGTTACCGCACAACAGTGCTGAACATAATCTCGTCTTTATGTTCAGTGGCATCCATCGCCTTTTGCATTCTTCTGAGCATTAACGCAGCTGATATTAAGAACCGAGTTGTGGATTTGGAGAGTGGGAATGGCGAGCACACCTTTATCCGCGCCCCTGGCTACTCCATGGATGCTTTTAATTCACTGATTGAACAAAGAGTGGATGAGCTGCTCTCTCAGGTAAGATTGTGGCTCTTGTCTTCCTAGAGTTGATTGCTTTTAGCCACTTAATTGACACTGTGGCAGTTAACAGCCTTACAGAAATCATCCTCACATACTTAGATTTTGCTGAAAGCATCATGTGCATATGAATGAAAATGCCATTCTTTTCATATTTCAGCGCTCTTATGAACATTTTGTCAAGATCCGGACTGCCAGACAAGCATCACCTGAATGCAACTGCCCTCCAGGTAAAAAAAAAAAAAACTACTTTTCCCAGTGCTTTCTGGACATGTGGTTGTCTGTTGTTTGAGACTGGATTTTGCCAGTATCTCACACACCAGCCTGTTTGTGTTGTAAGAATGAATGGAAGCTTTCTGAACAGGTCCTTTAGTTTATTTCATTGAAACCGATGACACATGACAGTTTGCCTGAATAGTGATGATAGTTTGGGGAGGAGGTCTGCTGTGAGGGATGCAAACAGCTGACCAGCCATTACACTTAACAGAAAGAAAGGTATTTAACAGCGGTCTATACATAGAGGTGCTGAGAGGTTGTTTGACTTGTGATGCTGCCTGCTCACTTGTCCACTTGGAGGGAGGGAGAGAGAGAGAGAGAGAGAGATAGAGAGCGAGAGAGAGAAAAAAGCCTCTTGAAATTCACATTTCCCACCAGTAGATGGAAACATTTATTCCTCCAGCGTGGGTCAGCATTCTGATCATTTTGGGATGGAGTCAAGGTCGGGTTAGTCAATGCATCAGAGCGGGAGATGTTGCTCTGGGATGTTGGGCATGCTGCACATTTTGAGCTGTAACATCACTTTTACATTTTGCCATGGCGTTTACTGTTATTGTGCATTGCTGTCAGAGAAAAACAGTCAGTGTTTCGTCTAAGTATGTGATTGAAAGCTCCAGTAAAGGTTTTAAAGAACCCTGCATGTGTTTTCTGGCAATATGGATACATAATTGCCACCACATAACCTAGAATCAAATTCTAATGTAAAGTTCAAATGGCGGTGCAGATGAAATTTCAGTCCATTACGAATGTTTTCTCGATGTTGGGTTGTGGATGCATAGCAGATTAAAGTCTTGCATCTCCATTTATTATATTTAATAGCATGATTTCTCTCATTCCGATGTAGGTTAAAGGAGTAGCATACCGTCTCTGTTGAATGAAAACCAGTTCTGATGATTTAAAATTTCTCAGATAAACTGAAGGATTAAGTGTACCCTACTTCTTGCTGAAAACAGGAATGTATTTCTGAGCTCATAAAAAGTTGACATTTTGCAGATACGTGGTTTTCACAAGACAGCAAAGATATGTGCATCTCTTACTTCTTTCTTCTTCTTTATTGAAGTGTTTGTTCACGGCGTTTTGTGCTTTTTTTCATGTGAAATGTTCTTACAAGGTCACTGACAATCATGCGTTTTTAGAATACCAAAAGTTTGTCTAACAGGATCCTCAACCCCTGTCAGTGGTGATAAAAGGAGTCCTTGAATTCAGAATGAAGTGTAATATCTCGCCTTTGTAAATAACATGTCACTGTGCATGGCAGTAGCATTTCCAAGAGCTCTCATTGAGGCAGATGTGAATGTTACGCTTGTTTCTGGCAGACTGCATTCCGTGTAACTACACCGCTCAACCACTACAGTAGTAGACTACATCCTGCAGGAAACTGACATGTTTTCGCTACTTTTTCTGTGTTTGTTTGATAAAAAGGGGTTTGTCCGCATCACGGCTCCAGCTGGGAATGTGATACAGTAAGTGTGAACATACTGTAGGTGACCTCTCTGGAAAAGTCCTTGTTGTGACATTGTGCAGAGTAGGCTTGTGGTTGGATTTTTGGATGGACAGTCGAGGTGTCTGGGAGCATCTGTGCAGCAGGACTGAAGTGTCCTTGGGCAGGAGGCTGAATCCTTCCTAAAGTTGGCGAGTGTTCTGTTGTTGTCTCTGACCTCTGACTTCTCCTTTAAAACAAAGAGATTCCCCCTATCAGATACATTCAGGATTATTACATCTATCAGAATCAGACATAGGTGAGAGAAGAAACAAGACTGATGAAAGTCATAATCCTAAATGAATGGCTCGATTTCTTTTTCAGTTTTAACAAGTGGTTTATCAATTGCGAATGACTCATCTGCAGAGTGGGAATGCCTGAATTACTGAGCCAAAAGTACTGGAAGTATTAACCATAATGAGACTTTCACAATCATGCTGCTCTCTGTTCTCCATCCCTATCATATGTCTTCTATTTATTTTCTCCCACCACATTTCTGTAAAGGGCAGAAATAAAACAATGAAAACATTTCACATCAAATGAAGCGCAGCGACGCTAAGACCGAGGCGGCACTGAGCTGGAGCTCGGAAAACTGGCACTCAAAATTTTGATTGGATTTTTTTTTTTCATGTACAGTACACATCCCGTAGTTTTTTTTAAAACTATGGTTACAAACAAAACACATATATCATCAGTATAGTTTGAAGAATCTGTAGCCTAATGTTCATGCAGTGTAAGTGTATTACACATGCAACTTTGTTAATGCTTCAGAGTGGGCTTTTTCAGGCCAAATATCCTCATAGCAAATGAATGCTGAAATGGGTTCACTCAATATTTATCCTCTCTTCTGTCTAGAAGACAGCCCCTGGCTCAGATGTGGCTTTTTTTTTTCTTAGAGGGGAGGACTGTAATGTGCTTTTCACAGTCTTCACTTTATTGCTGTCAAAGAAGATGGAGTGGTTGCAAAGACAGAGCAATGGTCCATAGCTCCAGGATGTTTTATAGGTTGCTTCTGAATCAGAGGAAGTTTGTACCATCGTTATCAAAGAGAGTCTGTCGTAAACTTAAAGTATATTTTGCTCATGCTGATGTAATTCTTGGTTAATGAAGGTGAAGTTTCTTTATGGTGCCATTTGTCATTCAAACAGTGTCTGGTATCGCTGTCATTTAGCGCTCAGTTATTAGCTTCTGAGAGACTAAAAGCATGTTCACACTTGGGCTGAACCTGAGATTGTTCCGGCTCTAGGGATGGCAATGTTGGTCAGGCCGCTTTGGGCCAGACTGAAATATCTCAACAAGCTGTTGGATGGATTGAAAGTGGATCCTACTGACTTAAGTGTCACCAAGTTGACATTTTTGCTGTTAGTGAAATATCTCTAGCTCTAGATCGATGATCCCCTGACTTTTTCTCCAGAGCCGCTAAGAGGTTGAGATTTTTGGTTCGCAGTGAAATATCACAACAATTATTGGATGGATTAGCATTAAATTTGATTTTGACATTTTTCCCTTCAGTGGGGAGCAAATAGGAGCAACTTTGCTAATCCCTTAGAAGTGAGCTTACCAGACCTCTATAGCCCACTCTTTATCTCTTCTTAAGGCTAGCAGCTTGAGGCTACATTACTACTGGCATAACACACACAAATTGATATTTTTTTTCAATTGTTGCACTCACTGTCATTGTGAGTCTGACAATGTTATAGAAGTGCGATGCTAAATGGGTGGGGAACATCTTTTTAAGAAGGGATCCCATGCCACATTTTCATCTTCAGTTTTTCTGGACTGCCCCCTGAGTTTGAAAAACGTTTACACCATAAATTTAATGTATATAGTCTTGGGTTTAGGGGGAAAACCAAACTAAACTAAGTTGGTTTGAAGTCTCTGGAGTCACACCCACTCTGTGTGCCACACTGTGAACCGGGTCTCCTAATAATTGTTTCAGCATTGGTGGGAAGTTTTCATTTTCATTTTTTTGTGTACCTTCTCCTCCCCTGGGATCTGCATTCCAAGTGGGGCCTGTTGTTTAATGGGACAATAATAAAATGTGCATTCAGCAAGCACTGGTGCTGTGCTCTTTCCCTGTTTACTCACCCGAACGCCTCAAACCCTCCCTCTCCCCTGCATCCCCTTTTCCCCACTCTGCAGCATTTCTTGATGTTAACGCTTCAAAAAGCCTGGCAGCTAAACACCAGCCAAAGTGCTCTTGAGAAAACAGAACCATACAACTTGTAATGTGCGGCACTTTGTTTTCCCCACTAAACACCCAACGCTGGTTGTCAAGGGCAAAGGGGCAGCAGTGGGTCATATCAGTTGGCTGTTACGTCTGAAGATTTCAAAATAAAACCAGAAGCAGATGCAGCAATATCTGTTTGGCTTGCTCTGTCAAGTCCAGATTTGAATCACTTAAGCAGAATCAAAACTAAACACACACACACAGCCCACAAAAACTCAACCTAATCACTCCTTTTCAACTCCTCGTGGCCGAGCTGGGTTGCACTCCCCCTTTCTGTCTCACAAAGTGTGTAATCCCAGTGGCATGATACAATTACAGTTGTGCCAATCCCCTCAGATATCCTCAACTCAGTGGGCAACTGGTAATTAATCACTGACAGCTTTTGAATTTAGCCCTCTGTGTGGTTTGGTGCTGGGAGGTGCCCTAATGGCCATGTAATTACTGAGTGCTAGGTAAAGCTAAGCAGACTTCCAGGTAGCCACTGCGGCCAGCTGCTTTTGGTTAGGTGAGTCAGGTTAGGCTGCCTTTGTGAGCAAGTGAGGCCGGAGACGAAAGATGGAGCCTCGGAAGCCTCGCCTGAAGGCAACAGTGAATAGGCAATTATGAATTTGATTGCTGCTAAATTGCTTAACAGGGCATCTACATGTACATCATGAGCACAATGTACTCTAGTGAATAACATCTTGCAGGGATTGTTTTATGCATAAAAAGCTGGGCTCAGATTTTACATCAGTCCCAATAAATTAACATGACGTGATTTATCATGATGAATCATCAGAAGTGGTGCATTTGCCCTAATTTCCAATTCTCACACAAGGTTTATTATAAAGGGCAGGATGCTGGAAATGGCACAGATGGTCTCTTTATACCTTTGACACAGCAGTTTTTATGGGAGACGATGAGGCATGCCAGCTGAAAGCACTAGTAATGACTGTGGGGTTTGAAAGGGTGGCACACTTTTTCTTCTTTTTACTATACATTAACCGGAGGGGACACTCTGAATGGAGAGGAGATGACATGATTTTTATATGAGCGATGTCACAACAGCACTCCGTTGGAGATTGAAGTACCTCAGGCTGGAAGAATGAAGACGGGGCCAAAAGGATGGAGGGCAATCGTAATGCTCGTGCCTAATGGTTCGTCTCACGTGTCCTTGAACATTTCCTGGCGGGGATCCTCAATCGTCATTTTGTGTGGAATAAAATAGAAAGCTTTGAGATCCTGTCTTGGCTGCTGCTGCAGTT